ATTCTTGGTGGGGGGGTAGGTAAGTGTACTAGAAGACTTGAATCTGGTAGTTGAAGAATGGAATGTTTGAAGTCAAGGTTTCTGATGAGAAAGCAATTTTGATAATTGTAATGTCCAGAGTGTACCTTTGAGAATGGATGGCTGCAGAGGAACAGATGAATAGGTCCTCATTTCAGTGTTCAGAAAAATATTATATGCTTATCCGATTACTGAATGAGGTATGGTGGTCTTACAGAATCTCAAAATTTTGAAAGGCATTTTTTCTATATGTTGAGGAGACCTGGGGTACTTACCATGCTCAGTATTATTTAAAGCTTTATATCCACTTCAATATCAACTATGGTTTTAAATCAGCTTTATTGGTAAACTGGAGACAACTAATCATAGATCCTTGACTGGTGATTGACCTGATATTTTACTGCCCATTAAGCTTTAGTGTATGAGTACAACAAAGGCATTCATTACCAACAGCAATGACAATAAAATTCTGCCCTGAAATAGATGGCTTGGAAATGTGCTGTGAGTGCTGGCTTCATAAAAAATTGTCAAGTATTATCATAATATCAGACCTCACACTTTTTCTGAATCTTTAAAAATCCTCAGTTGCATGACCTTGTTATTCCTCCCTTAATCACTGTCTGCCCACCCTAGATACAGTTTCTTCACAGTTTCCCTGCCTTGCTTCTGCTAATATGTGATTTCAGGAAAGTGTATTATTGATTTTTTGGCACTAAAATATGCACACTGTTTGAATTTTAATAGATTTTAAGCCAAAGAAATAAACGTTTATGACATTTAAGAAATAAATCATTTTAGTAGTAGTGCCTTTTGAAACCTCTGAAATAACTTATCAGTTGTCACCCACCATTTAAATAGGTAAAGTTGATTAAGAGTGATCAGAAGAAATTCAGAAATATATTCATTCAAAGCATGTATTATGTGTATATACCTATATTTTAAGCTATGATTATAGACACATATGTTTATAAAAACTTCAGGAGAGAGGAATCAATAGGTAGTAAATTAGAGAACCCAGTAGCCACATTTATGAATTTGAATTTGACGTATAATTTTATTCAATTTAACAATTATATGTCCAAGAAGCTACTGAAAAAATAAGATGTAAAAATAAAGTTCTTAGAAATCCAAATACACTAATGGATACTGATTCAAATCAAAGTTTTGGTCAAATAAATAATTAGAATGCTGCCCTGGTTAATGTTTTTTTTTTTTTTTTTTTTTTTAATTGAGCTTCACACGATATGCATTTACTTATCATTTAACTATTAACCTTTTTATTTTCTTCTTCCTTTCCAGTGTTAAAGAACCCAGTGTGTAAACTGTATAGATTTCCCACATCTGACAATAAGTGGATGCGAATCCGGGAGCAGATGTCAGAGAGCATACTTTCTTTTCATATTCCTAAGGAATTGCTTTCCCTTCACATAAAAGAAGATTTGTGTAGGTAAGGGAAAAGAATTTCTTATTGTCTCTGACATTATTTATTTTAAGGTTTTTAATTGACATATTAAAAAATTATATATATTTATCATCTACAACATATTGTTTTGAAATTCGTATACATTGTGAAATGGCTAAGTCAATCTAACATATGCATTACCTTACATTCTTATCATTAATTATTTATTTTTTCTTCTTTGGATGATTCATTTGTAGCAAGGCTTTCAAGGCTGTTGGTCTAAAACTTATTTGCAGTGACTGATATAATATGCTATGTTAATGGACAGTATTGTTGTACAACAAAATTAAATCTGTTGCTGTAATAAGACAGAAGCATTTGGGAGCTGATTGATTCTTAAGAATGTCTCTGAACCATGACTAATCAAACAATTTCTTTCTCTGCCTTTTAAACAAACCTCGAATAACTTTTAAAATGCTGAACACTACATTAGGCTAAACATTAAGTCCCTAAATCTCAGAACACCTGCAAATATTTTTAATAGTTAACATTCTGTAATTCCTGAAATATACAGCAGAGCGTGAAATGCCCTGCACTTAGATTTCTGTCTTATGCACATTAGAACACATGGTTACTTAATAGTTTGTACCCCTTTGGTAGACTCTAAAGTCCTCAGGATGCCATGTTGACCTAAGTCAGGAGGGTGCCATGGACAAGGCAGGTCAAATCTGGCAGGTGTTGACAAAATTGATTAGGTAGGAATGGCTGCACAAATACCTTATATCCAAGTGAAGAGAAAAGAAAAGAAAACAGAACCCAAATCTTAAGGCAAATCCGACACAAAATTGGATTATAAGAAAACAATCTAGATCAAGGGGAGTAAAGACTGAAAGGGAGACGGGGAGGTAGATATTTAAGGATAGCACAGTGTGGAGAATCAGGCCACAGAAATCAGACAACAGGTATTGACTCAGGCCAAGAGAGGCTGTAACATGTTCAGGAATCTAAGCAGACTCCATCAGACCCAGCTGCTGGAATGAGTTAATAAGCCAAATTATTCTGAAGTGGGTTTTCCATATTATCCCCACCTGGAGCTAGTACTATGAGTAGGTGATGGGTAAAACACTTTCCCTGGAAGGCTAAGCAAGCTTGTGAGTTAGAGGAGAGGAGCATGGAGTTTGGAGCTTTGAAGTCATAAAAGAGTCATCATCTTCAACATGGTTATATTCTAGACCATTGGACACCAAGAGCCATACCTATTAGAGCCATGCAGTGATCACCATTTCATCCTGAAGATTGGACACAAGAGCTAGTTCTCTGAGGGGTTACAGGATAAGGAAGGACTCTCAGTAGACAGGCATGAATGAGAGGTGTTAGGCAGGACCTAGCACTTTTATTCAGCTGAGAAACACTGGAGAGGAGTTGCCAGATGAAGCAGATTTAAAAAGTTAGAACTATGTCTAACCCTTTAAACAGTACTTGAATAGCTGCATCTGATTTAGCCAGTCCTAAATTCCCACTGGAGTATCTATGAAGACACAGAAATTGGAAAATAATGGCACTTCACAAAGCACCGAAATCTATTCACGTAATACTAGGTTATTATACCACGTACTAGATTTATCATAATAACTAATTTGAAGCTAATATTTTGAGTTTGAAAAATCTTAGTTGATGGACCATTAAGGTTTTTTCATTTAAAAATACAACAAGCTAGTGAGAGAGAAAGTAACGAGAATGACTACTGCTTCTTTTCCAATCTGTCTTAAAGGCTGAGCAGCTGTCCTGCTGCATGTCTGCTGCTTTGGAGTCCTGCACAGTGCTGTCTCAGCTCTTACCTCCACTCCCACTCCCACTCCCATTTAAATCTCTGTCTTTATCAATTCACTGATAGGGTACAAGTGAGAATAATTAGTAGGAAATAAGAATCAGGAGACCATTAAGCTATTGGATTTAGCATAGCTACTATAATTATTGTTGTTTTTTACGCACCAAAGTGTTGTCCACTTATCCTGTTCTCTTGCCTTTCTCAGTATCTCGTTTTTCATTTGCATCTGCAGCACAACAATTTGCTAGCACATGGAAAGGACTGGTGGGCAGTTTCGGTGGAGACATAGGAGCAGTGACTCCAAATATGAGGTTCCATTGCCAGAGATAGAACTAGGAACTGTGATTTTTCAGAGAAGAAAATAGCATTTTGGTCCTATGAAACCAAACTATATAAAAACCTGATAGATTCTGAAAACTGGATAGGGACTGTGGCTTTCTTAAACGTTTGGCTTTCTCTAACTCCTTTTCTGTATAAGTCTGTCATCATTGGAATGTGTTAAAAATTTCAACAATAAACCTTTAAAATTTTATAAAGAAAAGGAGAGAAAAAATTCATTTACATGTTTGGAAATCTATCATGGGAGAATTAATAATCAAAAGGCTTGGGGTTTTTCCTTCAAAAAGAAAAGTTGCCTGGACAACTTCATATTATGGTCATTTACATTGCTAAGGAAATTAAATAACTATTTTCAGAACATTTAAAATATTAACTATGCAGTATCATTACATTTATGGTGAAGAGGAATAAGTCAATGAGTAGCAGATATAAACTGTCACTCAGTCCCTTTTCATCCCCTACATCAGAGGTTAGCAAAAACTTATTCTTAAAAAGCCAATGAGTAAATATTTTTGTCTTTGCAAGACATATGGTGTCTTTCCCTACTCTTTAGCTCTGCCACTGTAGCACAAAAGCAGTTAGAGACAAACCTTGAATGAGTAATTGTATTTACAAAAGCAGGCCTTTCCTATCAGTTACTAATATGATAAATTTGCAAGCACAGTCAGTCTCTGATTTCTATGAAGTTTGGATTTTGAAAATTCTGTACTTTCTTTTCATGATAATTTGACTCTTTCAATCTCCCTTTTTCATCCCAGTTTGAACTTTTATATATAAATTGATGACCAAACACAGTCAACAGTTCTGAGTTGGTGTGTTGCCATCTCTCTAAAGGAGCATTTAGGCAATCATCTGAATCATTTGTTACATCCGTGCCCCTCCTTTACCCAGGGAGTGGAAAGTGGATTTAAAAGAATGCAATGATTGATATCAGTCTCATCAACTCACAGATGGAAATTTCATAAAGTCTGACTGTGGATTTAATTGTGAAAGAAAAATAGCAGTTAAAGAAGATAACTAAGAAAATGTTAGGTATATATAGTCAAAATTGTCTTAAAGACAGAACAGTATTAGTGGTTTTATATGCTTTTTTTATATATTGGTAAGAATGAAATCTCACTTATAACATTTAAGTCTATTATTGTCTTTCACACATCTGAGGTTGGTATATATTTGACAGAGTAAGTTAGTGTAAGTCTATTTGCAGGGACCATGTGTGTGCATAGTTTGCTTGCGTGTATAATGCATACATATGTGTACAAATGAGGAGAACATTGTCCTTTGAAGCCAGTACTGACAATGAGTGTGAATGTTGTTGGTGGACACGTTCCCTAGCTACATTCACATCCCTCGTTCACAGTTGTCTGTCTTTGCCCGCAGCTGCCATCTAAAAGCACTCTTGCTATTAGTCTCTTAGTCTCACAGTTAGTGTGACATTTAGACTCAATGTGAACTACTTTTATTAAATTTGAAATTGTACATACCACAAAGTCATAGGGCTCTGACAGATTTTAAGTCCTTTAGGGGTTCCCTCCGATTGGCCTAAGCATCAGTACCTTCTGAATTCAAGTTCAGATACGTAATAAATTTTGAATGGCTCAGTGTAGTGTTTTCACAACACTACATTTTAAGTTTTATATTATAGTTTAGGTCTAAAGAATTCACAAGCAAGAAATCTTAGACATCACTCAAGTTATGTTTACTGCTGTGAAGAAAGGCTCATATTGTGCTTAGTAATTTTCTGATTCTTTGCTCCTGGAGCCACAGTTTACAAATATATAAAATACATATTGAATTTTTACCATGAAAATAATACATACTCACTCTAAAAAGTATTAAAAATACAGAAAATACAAAGAAGAAAAGTAAAATCCCTCTAAATCCACCACCAAGAAGTATAATTAAGTGTCTTTATTTTCTGCATCTCTCATCTTCATATGTCTCACAGTGGTAAGTAGAATTGTGACCCCCATGGTTATCACCCCTGGTATTGTGCTTAATTTTCCCTACACATCTGAGTGTATTATGAGTACATCTGTTTTTCTACCATATGATATTAAATAAAAATGTTGGCTGCTAATCAGTTTAAAGCATTTCATCTTAATTTTTATTGTTACATAAAAAAGACCAAAAGGAAATACACTAACTAATTCACATTGGTTGTTTCTAGGTGGTAGATTTAAATGGTAATTTGTTTCACGACAAAATGAAACTAATACACTAATTCTTACAAGTAACAGAGAATACTTAGACTTACCGGTTAACAGTAACTTGGTTTCCTCTAGTTTAAACAGCTTCCTTTCCGACAAAATGAAACTAATACACTAATTCTTACAAGTAACATAGAATACTTAGACTTACCGGTTAACAGTAACTTGGTTTCCTCTAGTTTAAACAGCTTCCTTTCGATCTGAATATCAGTCTATTTAAAATTTAGCTCCCCCTCAGGTTTGTTTTTAAAAACGATGGATGATTGTCTCCAAAGGAAAATTACTAGACATTTAGAATTTTACTTTCCCCCTTCCCTACCCCAAGAAAATATATAGATAAATGAGGATGGGCTTCCTGTGTCTTTATAACATCAGAGACAAAGAGATTCTTAATTCCTGCAGTACCCTTTGAATGCCTGGTGGTTTCTATTATGGGATGATTGATAATCACTGAGATGCCATAGGGCCATCTGGCCTTTGGGATGATATCCTGGCATCTACTATTGGGGTCCCCTTGCATCTGACCTTGAAGTGCCTACTTTTGGTAGTTTCTTGGTACTGATCATATGCCTTTACCAAAACACTGGCATTTTTAACCCTTCCACAAGCCCTCAATGGGACATTTACATTTACATGCTATTGTTCTCTAAATCCTCCAACTAGCACTT